AAAAATTGTCCACATCGGTTAATAAATGACGAAGTTCTGAGGTAACAAACATAAAAAAAAAACAGTCGAATTGAGAACCTCCTCCTTTTTGAAGTCGGTTGAAAAGTGAGCAAAATTTAATTTACTAAAATCCTTTATTATTCCTAAATTTAAAATATAAAGTTCAAGCAAACTATTAATTACGAGCATGTATAAAATAATCTGGTTGTTTTCCCCTTCACCACTAAGAATGAGTAGCGTTATCTTCACTGTCTTTAATCTTAATGTTTTATATTTGTGCGTGTGGGTAAACTTAAAAAATGTACTTAGGGGCTGCGCCCACAACGCGAAGCTTGTCGAGCAATAAAACAGTGCGTATGCAACTACCATAGAGTATATTGCTACATATATAGAGCAACTACCAAGCATTACACTTGTCCCATATATAAGAGTGGCGACGATGTACTTGCGTTTATTGTTTAAAAAAATAGCCGTTATATTTGCAAATGTCTTACTTTTATTAAATTTTGATCTAATAAAAGTGAGACATTTGCAAATATAACGACTATTTTTTTTAACAATAAACGTCATATTTTATCAAATTTTGATCACAAACGTGGCAAATATAGTAATAAAGGTCGGCTAATACAATGGTTTATTGCAAACGATATTACGGATGCACAAGATATTTCGGGGGTGAAAAGAAGAAGTGATCTTGATGAGCGCACTCAGTGAAGCAACATATCAGCTTGCCGTAGACTTGGCGTTGCCTAAAAAACTCCCATCCGTAGTGCGAGTGTGAGTTTGGTTTTAGACCGAATCAAATTGATTATATTTATATCGTTTGAAAACCCTGAAAAAAAAAGTTTATTTACCGACATAGAGTTTTTAACTTATCAATAGAGTTTTTATAACTTAGGTAGGTAATACCGACGCTTGGTCGGACGAACCAACTAGAACTAAACCCGCTAAGTATATCAATATCAGTATATCAACATATAAAAAATCTTTACACTGTTTATAGGTACTCCGTCATATCCCGGTAAATTCAAGGAAATGTAGTTATAATTAAGAAAAACATAGTCATCAACACTAACCGTTTTAAATCAAAGAAAAGGTTTATTTTAGTTTTAAACGTTTTTTTCGTTTTAAACGGATTGGTTTAATTGGTTTTACACCAGCCTTACGTCTATACGCCTGCTTGCCATCAACAATTAAGAAACGCTTGATCTTTCGATACCTTTTTGTTTAACATTACCGAACCTACGGGACGAATAAAATTTTTATTTTTGTATCCAATTATACAAGGCAATCTGCTATACAAGCTGGATGCATAGCATAACCATATTATAAATTTTTTTTTCTTTAGTGGCTTAGAATTACATTAACAGACGCAATCATTCTGCAAGTATCGCCGTGTACAGTGAGGAAAACACTAATCAGTTTGAGCGGTAATTTTGAAATTTAACAGCTATAACGTGAAATTAAAACTATAAATGAATGATCAGTCCACAGGAGCAACCTACAACAATAGAAAGATAATTACGAAATTATACAATTTTTATATCTAATTATACAATCTGGTCAAATGCGCAATGCAGTAAACCAGGGCTCAGAACTGGTTTAAAAAACGGTTTATTTCTGTAATGTAATTCATCGCTCGTTCCTTAACCGGTTAATAAAAACGAATAGTTTAGTAATAGTTATGGTTAACGGTTATTCTTAGTGACAGGTTGGATTTCGGCTTTGATACCGAAATAAACCGGTTAATTCATTTATAAGTAAGAAACGTGCATGCATTCTTCTACTAAGCCATTCACCATTGGCAAAGTCGCGCTAAATGTAACCACACAAAAACTCATTTTAACCGGTTAATTTTGTTCATTGAACCTAAATTCATCAAAAACCGTTCGTAAATTAGAAAACAAACAGCTTATACAAACATCAAACGCAAATTACTTAAGAATTAGTACAAAAATATAATTATATCAGAGCAAATTTACTTACAATTAACAAAAAAAAAAGAAAAATATTAAAATAATATTAAACACATTCCAGTGTCTTTCTTATGTTCGGTTATAAACTTTAAATTACATCCAAATTTGTAAAAATGTTTGTAATAATAATTATTATAAATGTTACAGACTCTAGTTAGAAAACAATTTTTAGCATATTTGGTTCTACGAGATGAAAAAGAAAAGGTATCTCTGGATCGGCTATGAATTCTAGGACATTTAAAGGAAATATTAGTCAAAATATTATTATTGATAATTTTGATTTGATTTCTTAGTTTCTTTAGGTTATTAGACTCAAGAGTTCCAAATAAATATTTAAGTTTATTCTGAATATCCAAAAATAGTGTTATTATATTTGATTCTAAACAGTCAAGGGCTATTCTAGAAAAGATCTAACATAACAATTATACAGAAGATTGTATGTTCGTATGTTCACGATATCATCTGCCTGACGAACATTTCGTATTTTGTAAGTTTTAGCTATAATGTTAGATATGTGTGTATCAGGTCAGGAGAGGTTGAGAATCCAGTTTTACTCCCAGGTCTCTTACTTCTCTCACACGTTTTGTTGGCTTATTTGAGAAGATTGAATGAGATTGGAATGGATTCTTTTTTTTTCAGAAAGTTAGGAAACGCACTCATACTACGTGATCCATTTTTTACAATTTTTACTCTCTATTCCTGTCACTCTCATACTCCGGTCACCGGTGGGATGACTACTCGACATGACCAGTGAGAGTTAAGGCACAAGACCGACGGCTTCACGTGCTCTCCGAGGCATAGGCGTGAAACACCGCCAACTTTTCAACTCCGGGCTGTTAATAAAAACCTATAACGAAATATGCAGTAAAATAGAGAAAAAAAATCGAGAGTTTCGTTAATAAATTCAATTTAATTTTCTTATTATATTTATATTTATTATAATAATAATTGCAGAATATGTAAATTCTCGGGATAAGTCTCGGGAAGTTCATCTGGTAGGTGGCGTGTCATTCTGGCTCATAAATCTAGTGAACTTGCTTTCCTTAGAAAGTTGTGGTAATGTTCATAAAAATAATAAACGAACCTTGTACAGAAATCTAGTATTTTCAAGTCTTAAATTATTATCTAAAACACTACGTATATAGGAAAATAATTTATACCATAACATAATGGAAAGTGTTATAGTTACTGCGAGACATTTTTATTTTTATCAAATTAATTCAAATACCTGTCAATTATAGAGCTCAAAATTTCAATCAAGTTTCGCTGTACTGTTACTGTTCTTCATGCATCGCACCTTGCAAAATCGATTCCTTGCATAATTTGTCTAAACTCTAATTATATAATTTTATTCAATACGCTTTATTGTACATGTTTTATACACTGATAAGAAAATACTAGTAAGAATAACTAAACCTATTTATGAAATTACTGAACTGACTTTCTAAAATTTGCATTACGATTGATAAAAATATTAATATCAAATATATATTCAACGTTAAAATATAATTTATAATATTTTTCTCATTTTTGTCCAATTTTTTAACGAAACTATCAAGTTTATAAAAAAATATCAATTTTTTTGTATTTTAATATTTTTTTGGTTTCACAGATGCTTTTATTTAACTGTCAAATATCTAATATAATTTTTGAGTATTCTCATCATTTATATTTTAAAATTAAATAACTTCGAAACGCGTCAGTTTATCGAAAAATTATATGAGAGCTTTTTTGTAGAGCGTTCAATTTTATACAAGAAAATGATTTGGTCTAGCCTTTTTGATGAAATATATCATTATTATATACCAACAATATTTTAAGATATGAATATCTAGGTAAATATGAAGGTATAAATACATATTTACCTATTAGATAATAGGTAAATATGTATTTTACGTATTGAAATATATTAGATTTGCTTTGCATCGGCTGGCACCGACTTCGAAAATATCTGACTAGGTATCTATTCTAAATGAAAACCTATGTTTAGTTATTTTTTACATTTTAGTGCCTGGAATTCGTTCTTTTTTTAAGTTTTTATTAGCAAATGATCATGAGCAGACCACGGCGAAAATGAAATTCGCATATAAAAATCACTAGCCCAAGGGCTCAAACTCGCTACATTTGGTTTTCCAATAAATAACCAATTGGCTAACATTCCGTGTCCGGAAAGCTACGCGTTCTTTTTTTCTCTTATTTTATAACGTAAACAAAACTTTTCGATCAAGAAAGGCACATCAATTTAGAATATTTGATAATAACGCAAAAAGCTACCGTCAGAGCTGACTTGACCCACTGTCAATACAGGGCTTATCGCTCGTAGAACGGATGGTTTTTGGGACGGGTACCTAACATCAGCAAAATCTAAATAAATAAATAAATCTAAGAAAGTATTAAATAAATAATTAATAAATAAATATGTTGGGGCATTAACACACAGTACACACCATCTAGTAGGCTTGTGTTATGGATACCAGATAGTTGATACACTACACATATATAACTTTAAATACATACATATTAGAAACATCCATGACTGGAGTACAAACATTCGTCATCACACAAATGAATGCCCCCAGCGGGACTCGAACCCGCGACCGCTGGCACAGCAAGTAGGGTCACTACAAACTTAGCCTAACGTATCGTCAAATATATAAAAATCTAATTTTATTTTATTACTTATATTTTAGAAAGACGTCTATTATTGGACATAGCTGGTATTTCTCATAAATTTCTAAGCTAACCGGTGTTTTTAGCTATCCATTCACTAAATACCAGGAATCACTCTTACCGGGTCGTCATTGACCCAGAGGTGGACGATAACAACAACAAGCACTAAAGAGTTACATAATTAACAGACGGACAAATCGACGTACTTATGAAGTATGTATGTATATGTAATATGTAATATAAATTATTTGCGATAAACAGAAATTATTTACACTATTAGAAAAAACTGATAAAATAAAGTTTCGCGAAACAGCAGTTACTTTACAATCGTACAGAAACGAGTGAGGTGGTAACATGGCGATTGCTATATATTTTCTCTTGGGTGAGCTCTCCATATTATTATTTAGTCATGGGAACGTTTACAGGGCGCCTTTAGAGTTTATAATTTAAAATTTGTTAAACTGAGTAAAGTAATAGAAAAATATGCCAAATGAAAGGAAGTCGCAGGAATATTAAAGAGTTTTTTGTGTGTTCATTTTTGAAGTAATTTTTAACAGTTAATAGAAAATTAATTAGATTTTTACATTTAACTTGTAATTTGTTTTATTATATTTACATATTTGGTAGATAAAGTAATATTTGGCGTTGAACTAAATAAATAGAACAACATCTTAACAATATTTTTTTTGACAATATATGTATAATGCATACTGTAAAAGCTTCTTTGATTATCGCAATGGATTTTGCATGAACTAAATCCAAGAATAGCTAACGGAGTCTGTATTCGTCCTTTAATATATAAATTATAAGGAAGGACAAATTAGACTATAATTAGAAATAATAAATAAGAAAGTAGAGTAAGCTCGGTTCAACTCAGTAGTTTAAGGTTATTTCTTTGCATATAGATACTCCTATACCTAAAAAAAATTTAAAACTAAAAAATTCTTGAATTTAGAATCGTTGGGATTTAAAGGAATAAGTTTCCAGCTTGGTAGGTTAAGGTATTTTTTTTTTTGCTTATAGAAACTTTTGCACATAAAAATCAAATCTTATTTTACAATAGAAAACAAAAAAAGGTGGTAAATATTCGCCGGCTACAGTCGGACGAATAATACATTTTTATTCATTCGATTTAACGGACGAATAGCAACAGCCTCCTTTATTTATTATTCGTCCTATTAAAGTACAAACAATAATTTTTTATTCGTCCTTATTTTAAGTTCGAATAGCAACAGCCAAAATTATTAATTAATTACGATTATATTTTGTAACTGGTTTATTTTTGCTTTTGAATTTTTTCGTGAACGATATAAATGTTTATGAAATGTTTATTTCTCAGACCTCGAGTCTTCATTGGATGACGATTTGAGCTTTCACGCGTTTTGCACTGAAAAAATGGTGATGATCAGAATGTTCGTTTTCATGTTTGAAAAGAGTTAAAAATTACTTACGTTCTACAGTGAGTAAGAATAAGAAGAAGAGACGTACTTCAACGCTTATATTGTGAAGTTGTAATTGACCAATTTGCAAAGAAAAAAGTTATACGCTTTTGCCTCTGAAATTATGATTGAAATATCAATGATATGATTCTAAGTGGGCCACTCTATAAAAAAATTATTATAGCATACATAGGTGATAGGTATATCTGTAGTAACCATATCATCTGTGTGATTGTATAGCATTAAGTCGTATAAATGTTCTAACTTAGTTTCTTCTCCGGAATTGGCCAATCTCTAACGGCTCATCACCATCTTTTGGTTTGAATTATAATATATTTATTTAACCGGGATATCTGTCCACAAGCTCCCAAAACTTGTCTATTGTCAGCACTTATTCTGCGATCTTTGCAGTAACGCTGTATTTTCAAACTACGGACTCTTTTGTAAATTCCATCACCACTAACTACCATTCCACTGATTATAGGAATTTGTCTTTTTTTGTATTCCGGGAGTTTTGAAAATCGGTGATTTTATAGATGCAACGTGCTCGATCTTGATTTTTGCTTTTCCATCTCGTATAACAGCCGCGAGCACCGCCATGTTAGAATGATTTCACCCAAAAACAGTTTTTTGATAATATCTCCTTTCCGATTTTACGATGAAAATAGTTCTAATCTATACAGAGAAATAAAATGGAAGTGCCTGTTTGTAATGTCAAAATAACAACTTTTTACTAAATGCATATATAAAATACAAGTAAAACATAATTCTCATTTTTTTAAATGTTTGTCTATCTGTCTGTCTGTCTTTTTTTGTAAAATAAATAGTTTTAGCGTACAAGCGCCGCAAAGACTACACCAATAGGTGTTTTGACCAAAAGTTTATTTGCGCATTACATCACATACATGAAGTAAAGTAAGTGGGGCGTTTTTCTTGTTATCCCCAGTAGACGTAGTCCACTTGCACTCTGTTCCACTAGTGTATGAGAGTGACCGGTATAACAAGTGCACTTCTGTCTGCGCATACACTTGTACATTATAATATCTATCACCTGCGCAGTTGGCTAGTCTCAGTGAATTTGGTTACAAATTATTAAGCTTATAATTAATAGAAATAAAAATAGCTTACTTACGTACTTACGAATCATGTAATGACAATTAAGTTCACATGCTTCACAATTTATTTATTTTTTAATAAATTTAAACGGTTTATTTTTAGCTAGCACGGCGAGCTTGGTGAAGGGAGTTAATTTTATGCCATGCTACTTATGCGAACCAAAACCATTTTCCGAAGCCCTTGACGTGGCTTCAATGCGACTTCTTTGGGTAATTCTGAATTTGTTATAACCTAAAAGAATCAGTACTCCAAAGGATTTCTCTTTGGAATCTTTCATTTAAGTTTCCAAGACTATTAGCGTACCCTTAATGTCTATAATTTATATGCATACATATAATAAACTATTAACTAGTAGCAAGCCGAAATCTGTAGAAAAAAATTTTTTTTTAATTATTGTTACCTGCTCTGTACAGAATAAACCATACCTATTGAAGTGTTTGTCTGTATGACTGTTTGTCGGTTTATCTCTTAGTTTTTTACGCAAAAATTTTCTGTAGCGAAAGCCATAACTTATTACTCGGGTCAACATTTATCATTTCTTGTACTACAGGAAAATCTATTAATCCCATGGGAAAACAATCAATTAATACATGTAATAAAATTCTAACTGAGCTGAATCTGTAAAATAAATATTTTTTGGAAAATAATATTATCGACATAGAGGCCGATTCTATAGTTTTTAGAATTTTTGTCTGTCTGTCTGTCTGTCTGTCTGGGAATGATTCACAAGAAGACCACTGGATAGATTTTGATGAAATTTAGTATGATGATAGCCAGTTATCCGAGTCAACATGTAGGATACGTTTTACTGTGGGAAAATATTTCATCTCTGAGAAATCTATACTAACCGTTAAAAGATTCCTAGGGGCGAACCAGAGTTGTGCGAGGGTAAGTCGCTAGTAACTTATAAGGAAATGAAATCGGATAAGATATAAAAGTAATATTTCTAAATTCAAGAGAAACTGAAAGTTCTTTTTTATACAACTTTGGTATGATCTCAAAGACCACTTTATTCAAATTGCGACAGGACATCGTCAGTCGTATCAATACGACTAGTTTAAGACAAAACTGACTAAGAATCTTTTTCATGTAAATATATAGGAAGTGTACGAGTCATCAGATGACAAGAACGTGCTAATTTCACCTCTTGGTGTGTTCACGCTACTGTCGCTCTACGTATCTAATGTTAAAGGCCAAGTCGCAGATGAGATCGTCGATTTCCTTGCAGCTGCAAATAATACACAAGTAAGTTTACACAAATCGTGGAGTGGGTTATAAGCCTACAACAAACTGACTATTAGGTTAAACATTTTTGTGTATGTAAATAGGAGAAGTAGAAGACAGTATTATCAATGATCTTACAGGAGTTTTAAAAATATATTGTTTGAGATTCTACAAAAAAATCTGCGTATTCCCATAAGCTTCTCTGGGGATGTTTGTTTTTGTTCGATGTTTAGTTAACAGTTTTTAAACGAGTTAGTTTATTCGTTATACGAGTATACCTAATGTTTTCTATATTTCTCCTATGAAAATCGAGTTTACGGCTTTAGTAGTCCTAGCATGATCATTAAATAATACACTATTACTAAGTATAATTATATTGTACAATTAAATTTATTTTAATTCGTTCAGCTTACAGATTCCTACAGAAAACTGAGCAGAGAATTGAGTAGTATGAACCCCGATGTACTGAGTTTTTCAGACATTGCGTTCATCGACAGCCAATTTACTTTTAACTACAACTTCTTTTTAAATACACGCTTATACAAAAGTGAACTGAAACCTATTGATTTTAGTGAGCCGAAATCCGCTGCCGAAACAATTAATAAATGGGTAATATTTTTACTTTCAGTTACTTAATATCTTTGTCTCTTTTTGAAGGTGATAACTAGGTATAGCGTATAAGTGTCGTATATTATCAATTACAACAATTTTCAAATAAATTATAATTAAATCTGTTATTACCGAATGTTTCCAATGAGTGTTGCCATTTTTTTTTTATATAATAAGATATTTGTCATTATTGATGGTTCTTGCTTTTATGCTCGTTGATGATAAATGGAGATTTAAATGTTATTTTTTGAATTTAAGTCACTTATTTTATAAATATAATTGGAGTGCCTGTACATTCCGCAAGTTCAAATGAGCTTGCCTAAAGTGACTTAGAAATGATATATGAACGACGTCAATTACCAATGAACCAATAAAAAATTTGGTTTGTGTATCAAAACCCGCGAAAAGCTAAAGTAATCGCGACTGCCCTGTCCGTGGCGGATAGAGGTTTTAAGAGACATATGTACTCCCCATCGTAGCAAGCAATCAAAGCCTCAGTTGAAAGTAATGTCTTGTTTGCTAAAATTTATAACAGACCAACATATTTTAAATATCTTTTTTTCAGATTTTTTCGAGGATATTGGTAACCAAATATTTATAACAAATAAATACTGTTTTTTTTTCAGGCATCCATGAAAACTAAGGGGAAAATCAATAATATAGTGTCTGAAGATGATATAACGTACGATCTAATTGTTGCTCTATATAACGTTATATACTTCAAGGTAAGTGCCTTCTACCTACTGCATTTTATACATGATACTAGCCACAATTGTAAAATACTCTTGAATTTTCACATCGAAATAACCATCCACTGACATTTTGTGCTAGGAGAATCTCTTATTAATCCAAGTGATGAATTATTATATGAAAGGAGACTACGATAAGATTTGATGTGAAAGAAAATGTAATGCATATTTAAAAAGGACAGTATGGAGAAGTTATATTGAATAAGAATTGATTATTTAGATTAGGAAGAGAAAGAAGATAGAATGTGTAGCGAGTTGTTATTTATATTAAATTTGTTACCTTTATTCCAGGGCCACTGGGATGTTCCGTTCAACGAAAATTTCACCAGAGAGAAGTGTTTCTTAACAGACGACTTTCAACTTATAAAGAAACCCATGATGAATCTTCTACAATCGATGTATTATTACGAAGATGAAGAAGCCGGTTTCAGGGTATGAATGCGGAGTAAAATAAAATATGGAGAGACACAACTTCAGCTAACAACCAATTTTATTTATCACTGACACTAGCTAGGAGCGTAGGACCTAAGTAGTGCGTACATTATTGTGCTCAAATTAGTTCCCAAGCACAAGTGCACTCTTTAATTATTTCTCATAGTTCGGTGGTATTGCAATTGCGGCAATGTGATCTGTGAACGGTCAAGTGCAGAATCGATCGCTATGTCGGCGGTTATCTGAAGCAACAGGATATTTTGTGCATTGTTAGGTTCTCAATTTCAACATGCTACTTAGAATTCGTTCACAAAAAACCTAACAATATTATTTTGATTCGAACCCAGGACTTCAGGATTTGCAGTCGTAAATTCTAGCTTATAGACCAATAAGGCAGTTCTGAATTAATGAATATACTTAACCAGGTTCTTATATCATAATATAATCGATTATTTTTAACTTAAGTAAATTGCATATTGCAGCAGTTATTTTATTCAATTTCATCTTATTTTTAGATGATACAACTGCCCTACAAAGAATCTAAGCTTAAAATGGTAGTCGTACTTCCTAGTCATCTAGATGGGCTATCAATGGTGTTGAGGCAGTTGTCGGCAACGGGACTATTGCGTTATGTTAATCGAATGAACCATTCAGAAATTGAAATAAATTTGGATCTTCCTAGATTTGAGATAAAATCCAAATATGATCTTCAAAATGTCCTCTCTAAGGTAATGACAATTAATTTTTAAATATCAAAATAAGGAGAAAAATAAAAATTAAGGCAAAATATGCAATTGTGAATTTAGTTCATGGATTTGAACCCGTGTGGGATAAATGTATTCGTTATATAGAAGAATAATAAAGGTTTTGGATATGTACAAGGAAAATGATAAATGTAGGCAAAAAACGACGTTCAGAGCGCACAAGCAAAAAGTTTTTACTTACACAAATTCTGATATTAACAGGTAGGAATATCCAGTATCTTCCATGAATCAGTCTATGGCATAGTAAATGAATTTCCTGTGTCAGTGGACAAAGTTTTCCAAGAAGCTTTCATAACAGTGGACGAAAAGGGCTCCACTGCTGGTCAAGTTACAGGTATGGGGATATAAAGAGTGAAACTTATGTTTTATTATTCATTAATCATTAATCACTAGTCAATAATAGGATATAATAATAATCATCATCAATTATTGCAGGCAATAAGAAAACTCATAATATGTACAGACAAAAAATAAAAATTACAATTGAAATTAAGAATAATCCAAAATAATAATAATTAATATGATAGTCGTTTTCTATTCTCCTGTTAACGAACAGACAGCCAGTATGAAAATATTGTATAATCCAAGTTACTATAACTGCTCTGAGTATTGCATTATTAGTATTTCGCAGCTTATTCCATAAAGTGGAAATATGTGTTCTAAGTATCGCATAAAAGTCGGACACTCTCGTAAACATGCCTGATGCACTACAATATCTTGGCTTTTTTCATGAGAATCCGATAGACCTTATTGTATTGGATTCTCTTAATTACATGACTAGAGTATTACGTTTAAATGTCATCCAAAATTGACAAGTGTAGAAATATTGGCATTATCCTCTAAAAAGTCTGAGTTTAACTTCATCACTACACTTGCCAAATCGACGAACCAGCATGTTGCATCTTTCTTGCTCTATGTCCAGATTATCCTTAAGATTTTTAGAAATAATATAACCAAGGTACCTGAAGCTCTTAACTACACTACCATCACTCCATTTTAGCTCAGGGATATTCTCCAGTCACTCCATTTCACATAGTTAGTTTGACTTCTGTACCAGTGTCTCAACAAATCCACTATTTTTGATGAAACACCTGAGTCGCTTAGTTTGCCCCAAAGAATCTCATAGTTCACTAGATCAAATGCACGAGTTAAGTCCAAAAAGCACGTGTAAAACCGTTGTATTACAGCGATTATTATAACCAAGGGTCTGATTTAAACTCAATATTGCGAAGTTAGTTGAGAGACCGGGACGAAGTCCAAATTGTGCGTCGTCCACTCTTATTTCTCCTTATAGTAGCGGTTGCAAAAGGCTCTCTATTACCTTGCTAAATATGGTCCCAAGCGAAATAGGTCTATATTTCAGCGCTGAACCTGTGTCTTTTCATGAGATATGAATTCAAAAACAAAATTTTAATACAAATATTAAATAATTTTGCTAACTTGTCATACGGTACTCCACCTACATTTGCAACATGTTCTTTGCTCAAAACGTCATGGCCGGGAGACTTACCACGTATTCATATTCCTTACTGAGCTACGTCAAAGGGCGAAAAATATGATTTAGGCTAATTCTGATCTATTATGATTGCATCATATATTACACTAACTTAAGTACCTATATGATTCGACTTGGACTGGAACTTGGAAGCAAACATATTGGCTATCTGTGCTGGAACCTGTAAGCTATCCACAGATACAGGAACATTTTGTACGTAATGAATTTTTTTCTGTCCAAAATGTTTTTCTTTCTATTCTCTGCTAAAATATTTAATTTAGTAAGTTTTTCATTGTTCTAATACCATTTTATTTTTGATTCCTTTTTTTTGATTTCCTTCCTTACTTTATTTTTGATTTCCTTTTACTGTTTACCATACTTTCTTATATTAGACCTATAATGGCTTATAGGCTTCAAGCCAAGATAATAAATGTAGACGGTATTTCTGATGAATATTATAAAATATGATAGTTGCACCCTTCTACTTTTGTAATTTTAATTTTTGCTAGTCTGACAAACAGATGTGGTCTTAGAGCCTGCTTGAATGGGTCAGACCTAATATCAGCCCCAAGATGAGTCTTGGTGCTTTTTATGCATTTACGAAAGCGTTTATCGTTAATCAATATGATGTAATCTATACTCGTATATTATTATAATTTGATTTCTTACATGTTGCGGGGTATGCTTTAATTCATCAAAATCGGTTTCGAAATTTCAGCCGTTAAGATGTTACGAAGGAACATAATGTCAGACATACATACATACATACAGATTTACATAGGATCGGTACATTTAGGTCAAATGCACTATCCTCATTTTAGGTTTCGGCGGGTAATCGTAAAAGTGTCGATGACAACAAAATATAGTAACTTATGTTTAAATGAAATACGAAATAACAAATTGTCAAATAACACAGAAATTGTCCTATTGAAGAAAAAATCTTCTTACTTCGTTAATATCAACGATCATTTAATTAATGTAATTTTATTGATTTCAACATTATATTAGGTTGTTTATTAATAATACCTATAGCATATTGATTACCTGTATTTTTTTTCAGGTCTCCATATTGTGCCATTTTCTGCGCTACCGCATGCGATCCCCTTCAAAGTGGACCGTCCATTTTTATTTGCGATACTATATGATGACATAGTACTATTTGCTGGGACTTTCTCTCATTGAGATTTCAATATATAAAAAGGAAATTATTGTTTTGTATTTAATTATCATTATAATTATTAAAAAATATACTACTTTCCTGAATTAAGATTTATCTATTGTTTAGACAATAATCTTTGTTAGCAAAGTAATAAATATATTCTAATAACTTTGTCGTATTATTGATGTATAAATGAATTGATCATAAAATCACATCGACATATTCCATTATTGTTAAGATTCGCGCAGCTTTGCGTATATATCTTTCAGGTTTGAATATTGGCAATCAAACGACATTTCTAGTCCGTGGTCCCACATGACCACCTGTATGTACCTATGCATTTTTTTATGTGATCGGGACGATGATAAATATTATGATATGTATCATTAGATAGTAGTATCACTTGATTCAATTTCATTAACTGATGAAAAGGCCTTCCTATATATGCTCCTTAGCCTATATAAGAGAATATAGCAACATGAGAGACATACCACATTCCACGGGTGAGAAACCGCATGACTTACCTGGTATTAATGAGATATTTACTAATCATGATAATGGGCGGTGATAAAGAAGTTAGTAGCAATGATAGTGATGAGGAACCGCTGGCGTCGAAAAAGAGACGAAAAATGTTATCCGCTGGCTAATAAGGCGCAAACAAATCTTCTAATTATACGCCAAAATTTTCCTACATTACATTCTACATAATATTCGGAAAGAACTTAGGGGCCTAAACAAGCATTACTATTTGATTTTTTTCTAAAGATATTGTTGATATTATGTTTATTATCTAGTTCATCCGATCTGATCATTCCTCTGATATGAAGTAATAAAGCCTTGATATTATCTGATTTGAATAACCTAACTGAGCCGTATTGAATAGAACTAAAAATATCCACTAATTAGCATAAAGCATAATGTAAAAAGAAAAAATATGTTTGACTGGTTGGTTTGATAAGAGTCTTTACAATGTGGACAAGCTACGATATTCAAATTCAAAATATTATTACATTTTTTTTACTGAACGTCATGAGTCTACTACCAGTTCGGAAAGAAGAAGCCTCAGACCTGAGAAAACTGGCGAAAGAAACTCAGCGGGATTAATATTAACTCGTTATCTTTTTTTAAAGTAAAATTATAATCTATACTATAATAAAACAGTAGAGGTCGAATGTCTGTACATAGCAAAAAAATGCTAAAAACTAAGTCAAAGGGATGTAAGAAGACAAATAGAACAAATCTAGATTTTTTCAATTTTTTTGTTTCTCTGTCTGTTTGTCTGTTTGTACGGGCTTATCTCCAAATCTATTGGACCGATTTAAATGAAATTTTGCATGGTGGTACCTTATATCCGCGGGCTACATCTTAGATACTTTTTATCCCGGAAAATTAAATAGTTCCCGTGGGATAGTTAATAAACTATAATAACTTATACAGCTTAGTGCAAAAAAATATGATTGGTTTTTAATAAAACTTTACAATAATATAGTTCACACATGATCAAAAAAAATCGATTACTTTTCATCCCGGAAAATAAAAGGGTTCCCGTGGGACAGTCAAAAAAACTATAGTAACTTATACAGCTTAGTACAAAAAAACTACTGATTGGTTTTTGATGAAACTTTACAATAACATAGGTCATACATCAGAATAACAAATAAGTTACTTTTTATCCCGGAGAATTGTACGGTTTCCGTGGGATAGATGTTTTCGTTTATTTGTAACGTATTATGTATACAACAATAATAAAAAGTAATGGGCCCCAAAACAATAGTTATTAAAAAAATTGTCTGTATGTCTGTTTGCCTGTATGTCTGTTTATCTGTTTTTGTATGCGCGTTTCACGAGAAAAGTAATGAACCAATTTCAACGAAATTTGGTGAAGTGATAACTTATTACTCGAGTCAACGTTTAAGATACCTTTTACTTCAAGAAAATCTTTCTTTCTCACGGGAAGACACAGTAACTGATTTTATCGAGTCCTCCCTAGAAACCTTCCGCTGGCTAAACCTTAAGACATACATCAAAACAATATACTAAAAAAATTTAGGTCTTGAAAAGTCCTACAGGAAGTTCTGAATAGTATATGTATATCTCCTGAGCAATATATATTCTTATCTATATATGACAAAGCGATCCATTAGAACCCGGGTCAAAGAACATATAGCTGATGTGAAGCACCGTCACAATACAACATCTGCTGTCTGCAAACATAGTCAGGATCGCCCAAGCTCTTATATTCGCTTCGATAGACCTCAAATCCCGGCGAAAGAAAACCGATATCGCCCTAGAATGATTCGAGAAGCCATAGAAATTTAAAAAACATCCAAATTTCAATAGGGAAGATGGTACTACCATCGTCATGGGATCCTGTTATTAATATAATAAAATCAAATAATAAATCTAAACATAACAGACAGGTAGATGTAGTAAGTTCTTACTGTGTAGATCAAAATGACAGCATATCAGATTTTTCATTTGTAAAAGTATATATAGTGTTGCTTAATAAGTTGTCTTATGTAAATAATAGCAACCCCCCCAACGTGCGTTCACCTTGTCGTGGTGGGGGGGCTCAGTAGTGCCCGGCAATCCAACCGGGCGCGAAGCTAAGAAACGCACAGGGAGGTTGCCCACTTCGGTGGGCGGTGGGAGGTAGCCCTCTTCGGGGGGCGGTGTACCTGCGGGTTGCTCCTGGTACTTCTCTGATAGCAGAGTGGACTGTGGAGCAACCCCATGGTTGTGGTGGTCTGCTTCGGCAGACCTGCCGTCGGGGCGTCGTAGTTGAATGCGTAAGCGATCCTGCGACGCCCTATTAAGACGGGGGAAGGTTTTGTTGGGTTTTAGTGGGTAGTACTGGCTGTATTACGCCGGTGAGTCCCACACGTTGTGCGTAAATGCATTTCCCAACGTTAAAAAAAAAATATGTAAATAATAGCAAACTAAATTAAACTTATTACCCTTATTAATTTTAACTTTTTAAAATACACATAGAACAATTATATGGCTTAAATAATTAATACTATATTTTATATTTTTCTTTATGGTTATAAATATAATAATGGCAACACTAAATATAGATAACTAATTAATGTTTTTAAAATTGTAATAATTGATGATGTTCTCCTAGCCGATTCCGGCCACGGCGGCCAATCTCATTGAGACTAGCCAACTGCGCAGGAGATATTATAGTGCACAAGTGTACGCGCAGACACAAGTGCACTCTCTGTTCCTGTCACTCTCATACTCCGGTGGGACGACTGCTCGACACGACCAGTAAGAGTTAAGGCGCAGGACCGACGGCTTTACGTGCTCTCCGAGGCACGGGGGTGAAACACCGCCAACTTCCCAACTCCGGGCTGTTACTGAGACTTATTATACAGAAAGACTCATTAACTAAACTTGGCCCGACCCGGGATTCGAACCCAGGACCTCCGAGTGTGCAGCCGTACATGCTAGCCGCTACACCACCGAGGCAGTTAAATAATATAATAATAATAGCAAAAATTAAATAAATAATATTCCATATTCAAAAATGTTTAAAGTTAAAAAATATTGTAAGGTAATTTTTGCAATTTTCATTTTGTTAATTGTGGGTAGGCTGTCTGTAACAACTATACATTATTTATATAACTACGACTGCATGAATTTAGCCCGCTTTGTAACACTATTTCTCACTACCATAGGTTGGCTGGAAGAGATCTCTTCTAGAGATAAGTCCACCTTTGTCAATAACAACTGATTTTAAATTACTGTATTGATTTTTTTTAAGTGCAATAAAGAATAGTATATACCATCAAGACATGTAACACCTCAGTCTCTCCCGTGACCATGGATGCTGTAAAGCATTCGAAACGTCGGGAACCAAAAATCGAAATAAATCCGCGAAATAATCCGAAATTTAAGTTTTTACACTTCCCTATTACACCGATATCAACAAGTTTGACATGAGGTGTTGAGAATTTTATTAATTTTGTCTTTTTATTATTTCATAATAAATTATTTGAATCAAACCAATAGACAATCTTAGAGAGACTATCGTTTACTTCGTTGTACATTAGCGAATTGCGCTTCACTTTAAAAATAAGTGAAGTGTCATCAGCGAACAATACTATCTCATGTTTGTCCTATACAAAAAATGGCAAATTATTAATATAAATTAGAAAAAGAAAGGGGCCAAGAATAGACCCTTGTGGAACACTCATATCTAATGGAGCTCCAGGAGATCTCTTACCATTTACATCAACTCTCTCTATTCTATTTTTTAAATACGAATTCAGCAGGTCGAGTGCCTTATTTCTAATACCATAGTGATGCAGTTTCCTAAGCAGCATCTCATGATGTACACTATCAAAGGCATTGGATAAGTCACAGAATATCCCAAGTGAATCTTGTGACCTTTCCCAAGCCTCAAAAATATTTTTTACTAGCTCAACACTAGCATCTGCCGTGGAGCGGCCTTTCGTAAATCTAAATTGTTTCTTAAGAAGTAGATTGTGTGCATTGAAATACGTTAACATTTGCGCGAGTATGATTTTTTCAATAAAAATACTAAAAGTTGGCAGTACCGAAATTGGTCTAAAAATATTAGGGTTTAAGGTACTACCTGATTTAAAAATAGGAATAATAATTTACTGTGTTTCATTAGATCAGGAATACAATTGAACCACCAAAGAATATCAAGCGATGATGTCGTGGAACGATCACATAATTTTATTCAAATCGATCGGTTGAAATAAATTCTATAGACATATTAAAAAATCACGGCGCTATCAATGTAAGTCGTGAGTTACACCGAATAGAAAGGAGCGAGAACGGCGATTTCGGTTATTCTGTGCAGTACACTATCCCAGCGACCCTGTCCAACCCTGACGCAAAGTCAAGGTTACAACAGTGAGCTGACTATATAAGCTAAATAATAACACATATAGACGATTTCGTTACGGTCCACTTTTTGACCTGGTTCCCATATGTTTCGGTGTGATTTTAAGGATATTTCACTTTAAAAAAAATATTTAACATTAAATGTAGCACATGTTTATTATAAGACATTTTGTACGTGATCAATTTAATTCAAATAACAGTCAGTTATAGAGCCTAATATTTCAACTATTTCCTCTGTATAAATTGCTGTTCTTCATGCATCGTACCTTGCATAATCGATTTCTTGCATAATTTGTTTAAACTCTAATTAAATAATTTTATTCAATACGCTTTACTGGAAATCTATACTAATATTATAAAGAGGCAAAGTTTGTGATTTTGTGACGTTGTAGGGTAATCTCTGGATCTACTGAACCGATTCAGATGAACCTCACTTTCTAAAATTTGTATTACGATTAATAAAAATATTAATATAAATGAATTTGTTGTCATTCCTACAGGATAATAAATAACATTACATTACGATACCTTTTGGTAGGGGATCCCAAGAGGGGATTTTTGCAGTTACTCAAGCGCGGCAGATTAACATAAGGGGGAATACCTTGCACTCTGTGGAGTACCTCCACCATAATATATGAAAGTCCTCTATATAAGGCAGCCGATCAAAGGTAGGTTGATAAGGTAGAAATACTTGAAACATCAGATTAAGATATGGTCGGCTAATTACATCCTGTAAAGTGTGCAAATCAATAATCTGCCGATTTGCATAAGCCGAAGAGTCAAAAATCGACTATGAAATGTATGTTTAAATTACCAATTGGCTAATATCGCAATTCAGTGTCCAGAAAGCTACGCGTTCTCTTTTTTTTTATTTTTATAACGTACACAAAACTTTTCAATTAAAAAAGGCACATCAATTTAGAAGATTTTATAATAACGCAGAAAGTCACCGTCACAGCTGAATTGGCCTATTGCCAATTCAGGGCTTATCGCTCGTAGAACGGATGGTTTTTGGGACAGATATCTAGCAAAATTCATTAGCTAAATTTTGGGGTACATATAGTTTATTTTATTATATATGTTTTAGAAACACGTCTATTATTGGACATAGCTATTTATTCCTTATTATTATTCCTCATTTTCTACGCTAGGGACGGGTACCTAACATTAGCAAAATCTAGTTTTTTTTTGTTACTAATGTTTTAGAAAGACGTCTATTATTGGACAGAGCTGGTATTTATCATAAATTTCGGAAGCTAACCGGTATTTTTAGCTATCCATTCACTGTATACGAGTGACCACTCTTAGCGGGTTGCCAGTTATATATAATTAACAGACGGAAAAATCGATGTACTTATGTAGTATGTTATACGGATTATTTCCGATAAATAGAAATTATTTACACTATTAGAAAAAACTGATAAAATAAAGTTTCACGAAACAGTATATGTATTTTACAATCGTACAGAAACGAGTGCGGTGGCAACATGGGGATTACTATAATTTTTCTCTTGGGTGAGTTCTACATATAATTATTTAGTCATGGATACGTTTACAGGGCGCCGTTTTGATTTTGTAATTTAAAATATGTTAAACTAAGTAAAGTAGTAGAAAAATATGCCAAACTAGCATTGCCCGCGGCTCCGCCTGCGTTCTGATGACCAAAAACCAAATTCTTAGGTTTTAAATATTAGTATAATCTTACATTGCACTTTTTGTATTTTTTCTCAAAAATGAGAAATTTTCTCAGGGTATATGTTGACCCGGATAACCAGCTATCACCATAATATCCAGCTATCACCATAATACCAAATTTCATCAAAATCCCTCCAGTGGTTTTTCTGTGATGCGGTAACAGACAGACAGACAGACAAACAGACAAAATTTCAAAAAAACTATAAATTCGGCCTCTGTATCGATAATAATGTTTATTTCAATAAGATTTTCCAAAAAATATTTAATGTACAGATTCGGCTTACTTACAATTTTATTATATCTATAGATGAAAGGAAGTCGTAGGGATTTTAACCGGTGGTAGGACTCTGTCAAGCTTGAGGATTTTTTTTATGGGGTTCAGTGACAAAAGAGCAGACAGACCACCTTTTGGAAAGCAGTACCTGTCGCCCATAACACCTACGGTTCATGCACTTAGGTTTTATGTAACAAAAATGCAGAACCGCAGGTGCGAAGTCACTGTGAGGGCTAAGATGATATGCCTCTTGCCTGTAATTGCGCTGACTACCTTCTCCTTCAAATCGGAACACAACAATGTTATCATTGTTGCTTGGCAGTAGAAATAGATAAGGGGGTGGTACCCATCCAGTCGGACTCCTCAGGCTTGACAGAGTCCTACTAAAGGTAAAAATGGAGTCCAGTTTTAGCGCGAGCGAAGCCGCGGGTTCTGCTAGTAAAATATAAATATTTTATAATTTATGTCATTATCTTTTTTGTAAAAATAATAGTTTTAGTCTACTCCGACCGTTCATTTCCGTATCACATCACACACATGAGGTAACGTAAGTGGAGCGTTTTTATGGTATCCCCAGTATATATAATCCACTTGTACTATGTCCCACCAGAGTATGAGAGTGACTAGTAAGAATAGAAAGTGAACTTGTGTCTGCTTCAACTTGAGCACTATAATCTCACTTGCGCAGTTGGCTAGTCTCACTGAGGTTTGTCACCGAAACCGAAATCTGTCACGAGGATACCATCATATCATTATTAAGATTGTTTTAATAGATATTTATAAAAATGAAAATTGAATTTTAGTTAGCGCGGCCAGCTTGGCGATAGAACTTGGGTGCTATGCATGCAAGCCAAAACCATTTCCCGAATCCCTTGACTTGGCATCAATGCAACTTCTTCAGGTAATTCTGAATATGTTATTATGTAAAAGAATCACGTCTTTTAAAGCATCCTTCTTTAGAATTTATGATTTCAAAGACCAAAAAATAAAATTCAATTTGTGACAGAACAACGTCTATCGCATCAGATACGAGTAATCTAAGATAAGACTGACTATGTACTTTTTTGTTTTGTAACCAAATTCTCCACAGCAGCATGGTACTAACTTAACGAATGCAATCCCTATTACGTAGTTTCTTCTTATCTTCATATATAGAAAGTGTACGAGTCGTCACATGACAAGAACGTCGTGCTTTCACCTCTTGGTGTGTTCACGCTACTGTCGCTCTACGTATCTAATGTTAAAGGCCAAGTCGCAGATGAGATCGTCGATTTCCTTGGAGCTGCAAATAAAACAGAAGTAAGTGTTCACAAATTTTGTATTCAGTTATAAGCCTACAACATACACTGTGTTAGCTATTAGGTTAAATATTTTTGTGTAATATAATAGGAGAAGTATGAGATAATATTATCAATGACCTTACAGGAGTTTTAAAAAAATATATTGAAATTTGAGATTCTACAAAAAAATCTGCTTATTCCCATAGGCCTCTATGGCGATGTTTGACTTTGTTCTATGTTTAGTAAACAGTTTTTAAACTAGTTACTTTATTCGTTATATGAGTATACCTAATGTTTTCTATATTTCTCCTAAGAGAATCGAGTTTACGGCTTCATTAGTCCTCGAATGATCATTAAATAATTCACTATTAGAAAGTTTAATTTCATTGTACAATTTAATTTATTTTAATTCGTTCAGCTTACAGATTCTTACAAAAAACTAAGCAGAGAATTGAGTGATATGAACCCCGATGTACTGGGTTTTTTAAACAACGTGTTCATCGATAGCCAATTTAGTTTCGATTACAGCTTTTATTTGAATACACGCTCGTACAAAAGTGACCTGGATGTTATTGATTTTCGTGACCCGAAATCCGCTGCCGAAAGAATTAATGAATGGGTAATATTTTTACTTTCAGTTACTTAATGTCTCTTAGTCTCTTTTTGAAGGTTATAACTAGGTATACCGTATGAATGAATGAATGAATGAAATAAACTTTATTCAATCAGACTTATTACAAGTACTTTTGAATTGTCAATTTAATGAAAGCGTCAGTGCAGTCAATCCGTGAGGATGCTACCACCGGCTCGGAAAGCAGTTCTGCTGAGAAGAACCGGCGAGAAACTCAACAGTTGCTCTCTTAAATATAGAGGTTACATTTATTTTATTAACATAAATTTATAGATAGCCTGCATATGAGTCAATATCACTCAATTCCACACATTTTCATCAACAAGAAAACTTTTGAACAGTATAATACGCTTTGTGCAATAAAACATTTTAATGTTATCTTTAAATTTTTAAAAAGGTAAATCTAGGACATTTTGTGGAATCTTATTATATATGCGTATACTCAACATGGAGAATTTATTCTCCTTTTTGAGACGAAATCTAGGCGTAACAAGCTTATTTCTATTCCTAGTGTTTATTGTGCGTCTATCACTGTTTTTTACATAATTATTTAAATTCTTACGAACGAGTAATATATTACACAGTATATACTGTGACGCAACCGTAAGAGTACCAATTTTTCGAAAAAAAATTTTTTTATATAAGTGTCGTATATATCTATTATAACAATTATTCAAATAAATTATGATTAAATCTGTTATTACCCATTGTTTCCAATGAATGTTGCAATTTTATTTTATTTATATAATAAGATATTTGTCGTTGTTCATGGTTTTTCCTTTTATGCTCGTAGATGATAAATGGAGATTTAAATGTTATCATTTGAACTGTCTGCATATTCCGCAAGTCCAAATTAGCTCGCCTAAAGTCTATTAAAGATATATGGACGACTTCAATTACCAATAAACCGTTAAAAGTTTTGGTTTGTGTATCAAAACCCGCGAAAAGTTACGGAGTGTCTATTCGTCCCTTAGTAGGACGAATAAGAAATAATTATTCGTCCTTTTTAAAATATATAAATTATAAGGAAGGATGAATAGACTAATAAATAAGTAAGTAGAATAAGTAGTTCGCGGCTCAGCCCGGTAGGTCAAGGTTATTTCTTTTGTATACAAAAACGCCTGCTCCTAAAAATATTTATTATTAAGAACTCTTGAACTTAAATATCGTTGGGTTTTAAAAGAATAACTTTCCAGCTTGGTAGGCTTAAGGCTATTTATTTTTGCATATAGAAACTTTTGCACATATAAATTAAATTTTATTTTACAATAGAAAACAAAAAGAGGTGGTAAATATTCGTATAAGCCGGCTACAGGCGGACGAATAATATATTATTTATTCATCCGATTAACGGACAAATAGCAACAGGTTCCTTTATTTATTATTCGTCCTATTAAAGTACGAATAAATATTTTTTATCTCCATATTTCTCCCCATCTTAACACGCAATCACAGCCTCGTGTGAAAGTGATATTTTGTATGTTAAAATTTATAACATACCAACATATTTTAATTAATCTTTTTGGATTTTTTCGGGGCTTATTTTTTGTTGGGTAGCAAGCATTTTTCTAAGAAAGTTTTATTAAAAATGTCAGATATTCGCGGAAATCGAAGAAAGTATTAAATCACCATAATATATTTTAAATACATCTTTATATATATAATTCTTCTGTGAGTGTGTATGTCACTGAACTTCTCTCAAACGACTGGACCGATTTTGATGAAATTTTTTGTGTGTGTTCAAGGGGATCTGGGAATGGTTTAGATTCACAATTTGAATAATAATTTTCATCAAAAAAATTATTAAAAAAAGTTTGAAATTTTCAAATTAAAGACGTGTAGACAGGACAACGTCTGTCGGGTCCGCTAGTATATTTATAATATAATAAAATCCGGTAAAAATTGATTTTTTTTTAATTTATTTTCAGGTATCCACGAAAACTGAGGGAAAAGTCGATAAAATAGTTTCCGAATATGATATAATGTACGATGTTTTTGTTTCTCTTTATAACGTCATATACTTCAAGGTAAGTGCCTTCTGCCTATTGCATTTTATACATAATACTAGCTGTCATCCGCCCGCTTTGCTATACCTACGTAAATGTTTCGTTTGGTTCGTTGGTCAGAGATCGTAATGTAATAAATAATCATGATCATGAAATAATTATTTAATAATTAACTGAAATATTACATTAATATTGACATTATTAAACCATAAAGAAAAGATAAACAATTATTTAAGCGAGTAGAGTCTCAGTTGGTGTCCATTTTAAACTCCACCACACAAAACTCATGGGAGGCATTGTCTGGCACAAAATAGATTTGGTTATAAAGACAAATGCTTCAGTAGTTCACCTTTAAAAAAACTCATATTTTTAAAAGAAGCTTTTTTGGTAAGTTTTGCCTGATACAATTTAATCATCGAATTGAACCGATACTTCTCTTACAAATTAATATTTAGAATGTTTGCTTATAAAATCAATATTTTGGTTAAATAAAAAAAAACGGATGAAAAAAGAAATATTGATAAAAAACTTATTTAAAAACAAGCTTTTATTCAAAAATTCTGTTATACTAAAACGAAAATAATAATTTTATGCTGATGAATGTTATTTGTATACATGAATATAATAAAATATGTAGATCGATGAAAATACTGCATAAAACTATTTACATACTCGCATATAAGCACGATGTTAGGATAATAAATATCCATAATTGTACCTAATATTCTATTACATCTATTACATCAAATAAATTCAATTTTTCAAAAGCTCGTATCGCACAATACATTTATTTAATTGAAATTTCTCTTTCTCTGTTTGCATTACAAGCTTTTGAAGTTATTGAAGTGAAGCTTTTGGAGTGGGATAAGATATTATCTGGATAGATTTTTAAAATTCTAATAGATCTTGATAAGTGAGCTTTTTGTTCAAGCCAATAGTCCCCTCATGAGCTAGCTACGTCCCCTCGCTTAGCTTTGTCATGTCTCCAGATGCCTAACAATTGTCTATGTATTTCTCCAGATCGTAGTCTATTCGTTTATTAAGCTTCATCCAAATCTGTCTAGCCGTTTTAGAGTGAAGAATTAACAAACAAACAGACACATACAAACGTTCTTATTTATATTAGTAGTCCGATAAAAGGATTCGGGGCCAGGCCTTTTATTAAGGAGAACATCATAAAGAGGACAATTTTAGTAGAAGAGAACAGGCTAGAAAGAAGAGCCTTTATAAAGACCATACATTACACAATAAGTGATTTTGGACCCTGGTCTTAGCCCTATGGTCATCGTGAGATGTGATCCTCTGATCCTGATTTTATTTACCTATAATAAACCTGAAATTTTTGAAAGAGTTCATCCTGTCATTATGCGCATACTTTCTTAATCAGTGGTAGTATTGAAGAAACATTCCAGTTGTAACGCGCTCGCTTAGGAACACCCAGTTAAGCGGGTTTAAATTCCGCGTCCCGTACCTCTGGTATCTTCATGTGCGAATCATTTCCAACACGATTATCACCCGTCTTACGAAGAAGAAAAATATCGGAAGGAAATCTGTGTGTCTGCGAAAACTAGCAAGTTTTGTTAGCAAGCAAGACATGTAAAGGCCGCTAACTCGCAATTGGCCAGCTTGGTGGAGATGGCCTGATTTTCCTCGTATTGAAGCGACGCCCGTTCCCAGCAGTGGGACGCATAAAAGGGCTGAATAAATTCCATTAGGTTACCTCAGCATATGAATCTGCAGTTTTATCTTCTTGGATACCCGAATGATTTGATATAAAAATCAGCAAGACTGCCAATCTGTATTTTATGGCATGAATACAAAGCTTTATGGATCTTTAGAATAATTAAATGCATTGACATAATAGAAATCGATTCTATTGAATAGTCAATACAGAACTCAGTCAGCCAATAGAATAATGTTATGAATGTGATGAACATGAGTAAGCAGCATTTAATTCCAATAAAATAATGGCCTTGAAGATCGATGAATAATAGGACACTGAAATTTTAAAATACTTTTGAATTTTCATAACTTACGAATTGCACTGAAATAACCATTGAGTGAAATTTTGAGATAATACTAGAAGAATCTCTCATTAATGCCAGAACTGTGATTATTATATTACAGGAGACTACGATAAGATTTGATGAGAAATAATATGTAATGCGTAATAAAAAGTCACAGTATGTGGAAGTTAATATTGAATAAGAATTGATTGTTTAGATTAGCAAGAGAAAAAAAGACAGAAGGTGTAGGGAGTTATTATTTACGTTGCTATCTTTATTTCAGGGCCACTGGGACGTTCCGTTCGACGAAAATAACACCAGAGAGAATTGTTTCATTACAGACGACTTGCAACTTATAGAGAAACCTATGATGCATCTTCTACAATCGTTAGATTATTATGAAGATTATGAAGAAGTCGATGCAAGGGTATGAATGCTAAATTTAATAAATAAAAAGAGGTCTCCAACACACAATTTCAGCTAACAACCAATTTTATTTATCGCTCACACTAGCTAGGAGCGAAGGAGTGCATATATTACTGTGCTCAAATGAGTTCGCAAGCACAACACCACTCTTTAATTATTTCTCATAATTCGCTGGTTTTGCAATTGTGACAATGTGACTAGTGAACGGTCAAGCACAGAATCGGCTGCTTTGTCGGCGGTTATCAGAAGCAAGGGTCAAAAGTAATATTTTGTACATTGTTTTCAATTTCGAAATGCTACTGAGAATTCGATCACAAAAAAGCCTAACAATATTTTTTGGATTCGAACCCAGGACTTTAGGATTGCAGTTGTAAATTCTAGCCACTTATATCAATATAGTCGATGATTTTTAAGTAAGTTAAGTAAATTGATTATTGTGGTAGTTATTTATTTCATTAAATATTTGATCATATTTTCAGATGATACAACTGCCCTACAAAGAATCTAAGCTTAAAATGGTAGTGGTACTTCCTAATCGTCTGGACGGTCTACCGATGCTGTTGAATTGGATCTCGAAAACAGGACTATTGCATTATGTTAATCGAATGAACCTTTCAGAAAGTCAAATAAGTTTGGATCTTCCTAGATTTGAAATAAAATCCGAACACTATCTTAATAATGTCCTCCCTCAGGTAATGACAATTTATTTTCAAAGATCAAGATATTGAGTAAAATAAAAGTTAAGGCAAAATGTGCAATTGTGAATTTGTGTCATGGGTTTGAACCCGTGTGGGATAATGTTTTCGTTATATAGAAGAAAAAGTTTAGAATATGTATAGGGAAAGTGCAAAATGTAGGCAGAAAACGACGTCCAAAGCGCGCAAATAAAAAGTTTTTACTAAATTTACACAATTTATTATATTAACAGGTAGGTATAAACAGTATCTTTAATTACCTAGTAGATGGTGTAGTAAATCAAGGCCCTGTGGCGGTACGCAAAGTTTTCCAAGAAGCTTTCATAACAGTGGACGAAAAGGGTTCCACCGCCGGTGGGGCCACAGGTTTGGATATAGAAGGTAAATAGTGAAACTAGGGTTTTATTATGTATCGTTCATTAATCACTATAATCAATAACATATATGTCACATTATTTCTAGTGTGTATGTGTGGATGTGTGTGCGTACATGTGTGTGTGTGTGTGTTTGTATGTGGGTGTGTCCGTTGGTTACTCTTTCGTGCTAAAGCGGCTATTACCACTACGATCAAAGCGAGGGTAAGTCGTTAGTAAAGTATAGCGGCCGAAACGGATAACAAGAGGTTTAAAGGAGGATTTGATTCTTCATTCTTGACTTAATTTATTGCAAATTGAACAGATCGTGGATGATACGTGCCGTAAAATGGGGTTACTTAGACACGTTTTTTACACATTGTTTGAGGTAAAAAATGTAAAGAGTCAGTAACGTCATTCTAAATCCAATATGGCGAATGTCATAAAATGACGATTTATCATGTAATATAAAGGTAATAATGATCCCCCGACCGACTTCGGCCACGGCGGCCAGTTTCATTGAGACTAATCATCTGCGTAGAAGATATTATAGTGCACAAGTGTACGCGCAGACACAAGTGCACTCTCTATTCCTGCCACTCTCATACTTCGGTGGGACGACTACTCGACTCCGGTCGGATGATTTCTGTCATTTCGTAGAAAATGAATTAAAAAAGAAGAATAATGCAGTTGGATGCATATGTACGTGTAGCAAAATTAACAGCAAGTACAAAACATGTATATAGGTACTCGGGCGGCCGTTTAGAATTGGGGACTTGGCCCCTAGCGGAGTGGGTGGTATTTCTGGATAAGGGACGTGATAGGGAGTCGAAATGTTAAATAAATTTTTTAATACAACAAAAGAGTCAAAAGTTATTGAGACTTAAAGTTATAACATTTCCATACATTATTTTGACATTACTACCATTTAGACACTTGGAGTCAAAACGTCACTTTCAATTGTCAAAATGATCTCCAGATGATTGTCTTTATTTGTACTTTGCGTGAAATTCGAATTTTCTAGTTTTCTAGTCATTTATGGCACTCGCCGGCCGCTACCGCGGCACGCTCGCTTCGCTCGCTCGGCTCGTGCGTTGTGGCAACTGTTCTAACCTAACCTAACCAAGATATGACGAATAATTAATAAATAATCTTAAATGTTCTAACCTAACCTAACCCAGATATGAGGAATAATAAATAAATAATCTTTCTTAAATGTTCTAACCTAACCTAACCCAGATATGACGAATAATAAATAAATAATTAAAAATATTCACAGATAAAAAAATGATTTTTTTACTAAATGTACAATTGTAAAACAATATATTTTACATAAATCAAATAAAAAGTTATAAATGTATTTATAAAGTGAAAATAATATTTTTCTTTTTATTTATTTATTTATTAATATTAATATTTTACCAACAGAAAAAGCAAAAATAATCAAATATAATCTGTTGTCATTTAAGCGGTAATATAAAACAAAGTGTCAGTTTTGCTTTTGTCAAAATGTAAGATCATTTTGTTTGTGTTGTGAAATTATTAAAATATTAAATACAATAAAGCATTAATTGTTGTGAAAATGTGTAATGTACATAAAAAAGGATGCGTACTATTCGTTAAAGGTATGTTTATCTGTTGTAATCACTTATTTAGGTAAAGAAATGTATGGAAATGTGTTAGATATGTTATAACTTTAAGTCTCAATAACTTTTTAGTCGTACGTTTCCTCCAAATATTTTTAATATATTTTGACTCTCTGTCACCTCCCCTATCTAAAAATACCACCCACTCCGAATGGTGGTAAAGAAATATATGAAAATGTATGGAAATGTTGTAACTTTAAGTCTCAATAACTTTTGAATCTTTTGTTGTATTAAAAAAATTATTTAACATTTCGACTCCCTATCACGTCCCTTATCCAGAAATACCACCCACTCCGCTAGGGGCCAAGTCCCCAATTCTGAATTTGTGCCGGTACTCGTATGTACATATGTCTTTGACTGTATAATGCTATGCGTTATTTATGTTCGGTATATTTTTACTCCGTTTTCGCTTAGTTTAGTTAGGGTTTTTTGGGTTTTGTAACTAAACAATTTTTGTAGAATTATTTTGTAGAATATTAACATTATATAAATTAGGTTGTTTATTAATAATAATATATAACATATTGACTACCTGTATTTTTATTTTATTTTCAGATCCCATATGGCGATTCAATCGACGTTCTTTGACGCCTCCGATCCCCTTCATAGTGAATCGTCCATTCTTATATGCGATCCTATATGACGACTTAGTACTACTCACCGGGACTCTCTCTCATTGAGTTTTCAATATATAAAAAGGAAATTATTGTTTCGATTTTAATTATTGTTATATTTCCTGAATTAAACGTATCTTTTGTTAGCACCTTACCAACAGAATAAAAAATAGATTAAAATAACCTTGCCGTATTATTGATGTACAAACATCAATCAAAAAAGTACTGGATACACTATCCCATGCAAAAGCTCTCATAAAACTGTCACCAATGTGTGTGTTTAAGTAATTCTAGTTTAAATAAATACATAACAATGTAAATTAAACCTTTAATGGAATGTTTAAAGTTGTTTTCACAAAGCTTTCTATAAAAATTAATTATTATAATTAAAAAAAATTACGACCTAGGCTCGCCGCTAGGACAAAGAATGAGTGGAGTCGAATTAACCAATCTTTCTTTTGTTTTTACTGTTTTTATAATGGGTAAATTTAAAAAAAAAATTAAAGTTTAATCTACAAAAAAATATAGTAAAGCATATTTTAGTCTATTCTATAGTCTATATGTGTAATGATTATAATTTACCTGAATGTAAACATGTTTTTGGATAGGGCTTCACATTTATTTATCAATGAAACTTATATAATAGTAATCATAATTATTTATTTGTGTCACAAATTTAAATATATTGGTTACAAACAACTTACGAGTATATCAAAATTCAATAGTTACTACATATGAATAGTAAAAATCTTATAGCATCTAAGAATATTATTGCCTAAATTGGTGACTTAATGTTCATATTTATTATTTTTTTAATATTCCCCGCTCACTTCCGCGACACTCATTTTTCCAATGTAGTGGATTGACTTACTCCTCAGTCACGCCTAAAGAAGTTTTATTTCAACAAATCAAAATATAAATACAATAATTCTTATAAAATTATTTATAACGAATATTCATTTTGAACCCGCGACGCAAAAAGAGGGGTATTATAAGTTTGACGTGTCTGTCTGTGTGTGTGTCTGTCTGTCTGTGGCATCATAGCTCATTCATTCTTCTTCATTTTTTTCGTATTAAAGGTGACTTTTGTGCGAGTGTTCTTTGATGAAAATCGGTTGAGCTGTTTAAAAGTTGTGGGGGGTGAAAAGGGGGGGAAGAGTAACCGAATGTCTGCAAATATACTCGAGTGGGGTCTCAAATGAAAGCGCACTGAAAGAGAGTATTTATGACATAATCGAGAGTATTCTCAGCTTCCTTTGTTGAGAAAATTGGTGGTGGGAAAATTGGGACATGGAAATCCGATTGTCAAGTGAGAGTATCAATTACTACATCTCAGTCTTTGCAATTCTGCTAAAGATGATTTGTCATGTGGGTTATTTAATAGTTCTCTTTGGTCGAGCTTTGTAAGTTTGCAATTTCTAATTGCTACACCATCCAAGGTTTTTACTAACAAAATCTACATTATAATAAGTATGTACCTATAAAAAGTATAAAATAAAAAATTTAATTACAAATTTAAAATACCCCCGACACAAGAACCTAAGTTCCCTTTAAAAAGTAAAAATTAATAAAAAAGAACTCAATCTTAAAGTACACCTAGGTATGTATTAATAATTCTAAAAAAAATGTCGCGTTGGCGGATCGCTCAGGACGAAAAAAATCGTAGTTTGTAATAAATAATATTTTGGAGCGGTCCCCCATTGGCAATGATATTATGGAGATTAAACGTAGTAGTAGTAAATTTATTTGTAATCCAAATTTATTGTGTAATAAAAATTTATTTTAAAATATATCCGAAAATAACATTAAAAATTTAAGTAATAGTATAAAAAATGTTTTAAAAGACAACAAAATCGAAAGCGCGTAATAATTACAAGTCTTCCGCGATACCACAGTAATGTAAGTAATATTACCGAGGCCATACCATTTAGACGAAGAGAGACAATAGCATTCCCAAGGAGGGTTGGCGTCAGGCAGACGGCCGGTCTTAAAACTTTTGCCAAATCCCCCAAGTGTTTGGGAAATGGGCAGGGAGAAGAAGAAGAAGTAGTAGTAAAAATTAAATATGGGTTTAAACTTTGACATTTTAGAATACTTAATTTATTAATAATAATACTTGTTGTATTGCCGGATTTTTTTAATTCAATCCAATAAGGCATTGGGTACATTTGCAGGGAAGAAGTCAGTACAAGCTGCTTGTGTACGAAAAAGACAGACATATCCTATTTTGTAATAAATTATAGGTATTCATAGAAACAATAAAACAAAGATTTAGTCGAGTTGTGCTTATTTATTTGTATACCATTAAAAGCTTAAATGTCAAGTTCGGTCACGAACCTACTACCAACTATATATAGCGAGATTTAATATCGTTGTGTCTGTTTATATTCTTGTTTAAATACCTACTTAAAATATGCCAATTCGTGTGTATCAATTTATATGTACCTATTATGTCATAAAATGTATTTATTGTTAGAATACTTACATTTGAATCAGTAGCTCTTTTCGGGCATGGCATTTTATATTATAATTTATAACACTAGCGACCCACCCTGGCTTCGCTCGGGCTCGTCCCTAGGTGATTCTTTAAATGAACATAACTTTCATTTATTTATAAACTGATTAAAATAAAACAAATACTAAATGTCAAGTGAAGCTTACCAAACCACATTAGTGAAAATCGCACTCAAATCGTTAAGCCATTTCTGATATTAGCGCTCACAAACGCCCAGAGAATTCTGAAAATCAATGTTTTGGGTTCTATTGCGTTAATAAAGACCCCCAATAATAGTTTTTCTTAAATATTTTCCATGTACAGACAGCGATGAGTTACACTTTAGTTATATATATGTATATAGATTATGGGTCTGTTTTAAATAGGATAATGCGAGTGATGCTTTTTTATATATAGTGAATTAATTACCTATGCGGAAAATATTTCTAAAACCATCATAAAAAAATCTTAATCTACTTATTATAACATGGAATGAGACCCAGAAGAAAACTTAGTTCAAATAAACTTCAATAGATGGCGTTATAGCTAGATATGTGTAGATTGATTTGTTATTGAAGGTAAATTAACAAAAGATGGTACGTTTTAACGGTTATCTTTGAAATTCTCGGCTTTTCTGTACTATAATATACATGTATTATACATATAAACCTTCCTCTTGAATCAGTCTATCTATTCCTGAAAACTGCATAAAATCCGTTGAGTAGTTTAATAGATCTAAGCGAACAAACAGCGGAAGCGACTTCATTTTATAATATGTAAAGATAAAAAATAGATCCCAATAATTAAAGGAAAATAAAATAATGTGCTCGTAAATCGTGTAATTTTGCTGATTATCTATAGGTACATATAATAAAATTCTAACTGAGCCGAATCTGTACATGAAATATTTTTTGAAAAATCTTATTATAATAATAGACATTATTATCGATACAGAGGCCGAATCTATAGTTTTTAAAAATTTTGTCTGTCTGTCTGTCTGTTACCGCATCACGGAAAACCACTGGAAGGATTTGGATGAAATTTGGTATGGTGATAGCTGGCTATCCGGGTCAACATATACGATACTATTTATTGCGAGAAAATGTCTCATTTCTGAGAAAAATACAAAAACTGCAATTTAAGAGTATAGTAATATGCAAAACCTAAGGATTTGGTTTTTGGTCATCTGAACGCGGGTGGAGCCACGGGCAATGCTAGTTGAATAATAAAATATTTAAATCAAATCAAAAAATATACACAGATGGCGCTTTTACTTTTCATGATTTGTTTGTCACGGTCAAAAACTGCTTAAAGTCACTGAAGTTTGTTCAATTAAATACAGAATGAATTTTAAAATATTTATCCTATTCTAGTTTATGCATATTTTATAGAATATAAAAGATTGAACAATTTCCGGATTAACGACATCTATTATCTATTCAAGCAAACAAAAATATCCCGAAAACAGCCCGAATTAGCGCTGTCCAATTTCTTTATATGAGATGGTGCATCTATATTCTGTACTACCTAGTGTAGTATTACGTCATCAGTGTCTATACATATTATTGTTCTATTAGGCGTGTGAGAATAATACTATAATTTATATGTATTAACCTTTGTCAAGATTGAAGACAACGCTACTCGTACTTGGTGGTGAAGGCGAAAACTTAATATAACCAGGTGATTTTATACATAATTAATTGTTTTGCATGAACTTTTTATTTAAAATTTAGTAATAATAAAGCATTTTAGTAAATCAAATTTTTTGCTTACTTTTGAAAAAAAACCATCAACAAACGGAGTCACGGGCAATAGTGAGTATAAAATATATTTAAAACAACCAAAGGAATACAAAAAAGTACATCCACTACATAAGATACATTTATAATAGTGAACCAATTAGATGCCTATTAAAAACAAATTAATTTTATCGCCCATGTAGATTTATCTGCGGTAAAATTAAAAAGAAATAAACACAGATTAGAAAAAAACCATATAACGAAGTCCGCTAAAGAGGGCAGTCGAGCAGAAGTGATCGGTGCGGCAACATGGGGGCAACTGTGATTTTTTTAATTGGTAAGTCCTCACTTTACTGAGCCACATTAATGAGTCTTGGGAATTTTCCATGTTATTTAGTTTTATTTAAATTATTTGTTAAAATTAACTTGAAAAATACCTTAATAATATATCGCTGAAAGACTAGGAATATTATTAGCTAAAACTTAATTTCTTAGCAATATATGTATGTATATCGCATTTATTATTTATTTTTTATTATATTATTCTTCTTCGTATTCTTTCCTTAAATGATATTGTATAAATATATCATTGTAATATGCCTAATATGAAAATTTATCAGTCTTGTTTGATTATTCCTGATCTCCAAATGAAAGCAAAAACTTTGTACTTAATAATTATTATTATTGGTAGGTACTTCTAAAAAAAAGATAATGAAACTATTATTATATATTATATTATTATCTAATATAAATACATAATCGGTAAACCATTGTGTATTTTTCGTTTTCTATGTGTGCTTTATGTAGGTATTTATTTGATTATGATGAAGTTATAGCCAAACTAGCGGTTCACCCTCGTTTCGCTCGGGTTCGCCTCTAGGGAGATAAAATCAAAACTATCCCACGGGAACCGTACATTTTTCCGGGATAAAAAGCCTATGTGTTATTCCAGACTATATTCTATCTCTGTGCCAAATTTTATCCAGATCCGTTCAGTCGTTCTGGCGTGAAAGAGGAACAAACATCCATACAAACTTTCACATTTATAATATTAGTATGGATTAATACGGATATTGTAAAGGGTTGCTTGAAAAAGTTTTTAATGATGGTTCTATCAACGTACTAATAATATATAGCGCGTTTTTTTAAGAATGCTTTGAGATAAAGGTACCTACTTGTAGGTAGGTATTATGATGATATGTAGTGTAGTTTGTGTGTATCACTCTGTGTCGCATGAGTAGCTATGCTGAGATTCGATAAGTTATTATAAACAAAATAACTCACTCTGGAAACTTATGTCATAATAATGTAGATATGGAGTTATTATTAAATATATTTTCTGTAAAGAAAACTTAGTCTGCTGGACAAGCTAGTTAGTAGTTACTTATAAGATTTTTAGTTTCTAGTTACTGTTTCGTTCTGTAAAATATTATAAGGTAATACCTAAACAATGTATGTATAATATTAATGATCTGGGACCAAACTATCAGTAGGTACATACAATACGTCTTTGAACATCTTCACCACTCTCGTACGAGAATGAGAATCAGCTATGGTTTTTTTAGATACTATTAAAACATTGGAATGAACTGGTTAATTTCCAAAAACACATGTTAATTAGCGTATTACTTCTCATACTTCATCGACTCTAAAACCTAATAAATAATAAAAAAAGCCTTATATTTCTCTTAAAACGAAACAGCGCTAATCTTAATTTAAAAAAAAACAATGTCCTACCTTAAAAAAATATTACATCAAGTAATCCAAATTTGTATTTTATTTTTAAGCTACAATGGCCAGCTTGGCAATGGGATGGGACTACACTTTTCCCAATTACAAAAGAACTCCGCTGGGGGATACCGTTGACATCGCTTCTATGAAATTACTTAAGGTAGGTAATACTATTGTTTTAATAAAAACATTAACTATCTATACATATAATAAAATTGTAACTAAGTCGAATCTGTACATTAAATATTTTTTGGAAAATCTAATTGAAATAGACATTATGATCGATACAGAGTCCGAATCTATAGTTTTTAGAATTTTTGTCTGTCTGTTACCGCATCACGAGAAAACCACTGGACAGATTTTGATGACATTTGGTATGATAATAGCTGGTTGTCCGGGTCAACATTTAGGATACTTTTTACCGGGGGAAAATATCTCTTTTCTGAGAAAAAAAAACAAAAACTGTATTGTAAGAGTATACTAATATGTAAAACATAAGAATTAGGTTTTTCGTCATCTGAACGAGGGCGGAGCCGCGGGCAATGTTAGTGTACTTAAAAAAACGTCACGTTTTCAAAGGTTTTCCTTAATAGCAAAATTTTATTCTATCTAAGTTCTTTACCTAAGCATGAGTATATGTACGTGATCACTGATCACTGGTCATTATAACAGTAGGTCCTTTATTATACTCGTAGAATGTGTATAATTAAATGTGTATACATAAAAATTATGCGAAATAAAACAACACGAATATAATATCTCAATATTTACATTTTGTTCTGGAATAATACATACACATAATACTTTACTATTACATGCTATGTACAGTTTGCTATGGGAAATATTCTACATCTAAATGTGGTTTCTAGTACATCTTCTTATATTATATGTATATCTTCTTTAAGGGTGTTTAGGTCTCGTAGTGATGTTGTAGTGTGTGTGTAAGCATTCCGCTGCGTATTTTAATGAGTAGGAATCTCACAGTCCCCTGCCGTTGACGGTCGGCAGGGATGGAACCCTATATATTTCTTCTCTCTCTGATTTCTTATTTTATTTAAAAAAGAGTGTTAGGTAAAAGTTGTAATTTTTATTATTTATACAAAGTCCATCTTTGTTAACTATTTAGGAAGTGTACGAGTCTGCTGATGATAAGAATGTGGTAGCTTCCCCTCTTGGCGTGTTGACGTTACTGTCGCTCTACGCGTCTGGTGCTGAAGGCGAAAATCGAGATGAGATCATGAAGTTTCTTGGATCTTCAGATTATGAGCAAGTAAGTTTAAAAAAGTGTATATAGAAATATGATTAAACGCAAAATCTATTACAAGTATTTTTGGCGAAATTATAGTTTTAAATGGAACTTTTTTTTTCACACACGGAGTAGAAGAAGGTGATTAGAAATGATTAGTTTTTAAGAGTATAAACTGAAAACGTTTGATAAGAATGCTTTTTTGCCCAATATTGTACCTACTTAATTCTTTGTTGAGTAAAGTTCAAATAAAATAAACAATCATTGTTGATCAAGTAAATTATGAAGTACAAAAGGACCAGTTAATTGACCAGATAATTATGTATTTTAGAGAATAATGCTTAGTAAGTACTTAACTAGTACCGGCTACCTAATACATTTTATTTCGAAGGATAACATTTTTTCATTATACAGCGAAAAATACTCAAAGGAGTCTCGGGACCGATGACAGTGTGTTTTTTTTCAAAGTCAACAGGTTCGATTCTTGGCTAGGAATATTGATATTTCAAAAATCCAATGATGCAGTTTTAGTTTTCATGAAAATCGGTACCGAGACTCCTTTGAGTATTTTTCGCTATTCCTCATAGTTTCGGATTTTTGGCCATCCACGCCCATTTGAAAAATTTACCCTGTGATACACATATGCTCTCGTCACATCAGGGTTTGAGCATTGACCTTCAAAATAGAGATCAGATGTGCCAACGAAATACTATTTAATATAAAAACAATCTATTATAATATATGTTAATTTTATGTATTTTTTAGCTTTCAGCATCCTACAGCCAATTAAGTGAAAGATTTGGAAGAATGGACCCGAGCTATCTGACTCTTGCAAACAAAATATTCGTCTCAAACCAATACACTTTGAACGAGAAGTTCTCTGAATCTGCACGCTCATACAAAAGCGAAGTTGATAGCATTAATTTCGCTGACACTAATTCTGCGGCGAATATCATTAATGAATGGGTAATTTAGTTAAATTTCAAATATTCCCTCAATAACTTTAGTTCTTAATCCAAACAAATCACGAGAAAGACATTTAAGTTTCAGTTAAAACGATTATTAGTGTATTTTATCCAAAATATATACATACATCTAGGCTGTCTTGTTAGTTTTCATCGAAAATAAATCTTAGTACCAATACGGAGTTGGAAGTTGCCGGTCTTATAATTCTATGTTTAGTATATCCAATGATCCTGCACCTTGATTTTCGGTCGCGTCAGCTTTTTATTTTTTCCAAATGTTAGATTAATATTTCTCGCACCGATTTTTCAGTTTTTATCATCACGACTAATGACCATTATGATTTTATTATATCTTAATACTTAATTTTATAATAATACCATTATGTATTTGTGTGTTATCTTGGTTTTATTCTCATCTCTATTCTCATTAAGATAAACTAAGCAAAGGAAATGATATTTTTAATTAAGTGTATTCAAAATCTATTACTTAACTCCAATTATGAAGGTGGGTATAATGGGAGTGTGACAGACATTTACATTTTCCTTTATATTTTTTCAGGCATCACGGAATACTAAAGGAAAAATTAACAGTCCAATGTCTCCATCTCAAATAGACCCTGCAACGGCCGTAGCTCTTCTTAACGTGATATTCTTCCAGGTATTGTTTTTTTTTATAATGGTTTTTTTATTTATTTTTTCTCCTAACAACGTTCTGGAGGCATAAAAGTAGTATTTTACTATAAAATACCTTTTAAGATCTACGAAATACATGTACAACAATAATTATATTTATATTGAAAGTAATTTTGTTCTTTAAGAGGCCTATTACATTATGACCGTGATTTTTCAATTTAATGACCAAATTCAAAAGCAAGTTTTTCAAACTCATGGATTGAAATACTATACTAAGTAAACGAAATGAAAAATATATAATAATATCTCGTATATAGTCGTTCAGTTTATAGCGGCCTCGGAATTTGAAAGTATATATTGGATTTCTACAAAAAAAATCCTTTTCAAAATCTTAAAAACTATTAGAAACGTTCAGAATTAGCTGTAAATATATCCTTACAACATTAATATAATTAAGTAAAATTTATACCAGAATATACGTCAGTTCAAAAAAACGTAATTACATACTTTTCTTTTAAATAATTTATTATAAAAACTTTACATAGAAGTAATTACAACAGCAGAAAATGCTAGAAACAGCGATTCATCGATCGCTCGAACTCAATACCATAGAACGCAGTAAATTTTGTGATAGGCCTCTTAACAAGGTAATCAAGGAAACTCAAACTAACGTATTATTAAATATCGTATGCGTGTATCAATAATCATATTTGTTATTACTTCGATGTAAAAATAATTCACTTGACGGGTAATGTGATATCAATTTATGACCACTGTGGAAATAACCAGTAGTGATAATGCATTTCATTTTAAATGACTAATAAATATATATATATATATATATATATATATATATATATATATATATATATATATATATATATATATATAATTTATTAGTAGATTGAGGGGAAAAAAGAAATAATAGTTAAAGTTTGCATTTTTCCACGAAAATGAGCACTAGTCAGTGATTTAATAAAAAATCATTGTACAGATTTCGCTTTGTTACTATTTTATTATATGTATAGGTGTAAGCTTATTATTGTTTTTGTTACAGGGTCACTGGCATGTCCCATTCAACGCAAGTGAGACCAAAGAACAAGATTTCTTTACTACCGTCGCTAAGTCTGTAAAGAAGCCCATGATGCATCTTGTGCAATCTTTGTACTATCACGAAGATAAAGATATCGGTGCAAAGGTAGATATTCTGTATCTATATAATATGAAATATATAATACATATTCCTTAAGATACCCACTATAAACCTAATTATGTAGGGAAATGCTTTTATACATACCACCTGTATACATACATTTACAGGTGGTTATGTGGGACTCACAGGCTAGAAAAACTAGTACTACCAAACGGAACTTTTTCTGTCTTAATGGGGCGTCGCATGATCGCTTACGCATTCAACTACGACTGCCGAAGCAGAACACAATAACCGTGCAGTTGGTCCAATAGTTTACTCTGCTATCAGAGAAATACCAGGAACGACCCACAATTATTACATTTATTTTTATATTTATATATTTATAATATAAAAATAAATATAATAATTATATTTATTATTATATTTATAATATGTATGTATTTAAAAGTTATATATGTGTAGTGTATTAACTATCTGGTATCCATAACACAAGCCTCGTAGCTTACCATGGAACTAGATAGTGTTGTGTGTTAATGTCCTGACATTTATATTTTATTATTTATATATAATGCACACCGCCCACCAAGTTGGGCCTCCTCCCAGTGGGTTTCTTGGCTTCGCGTCCAACTGAAGCGAACCTAACCTTAACTTACCTAAGCCTTAGATCGAAAATATCCCATATCTCAAACCGCTATAACTATATATATAAAAACTGATGATAATTATATACTTATTACAATTTATGCATACGAAAAACATTTTAAACTATTTTTAAAGCTCTAGTATATAAACTTTATAACAACTTTTTGAACAAAAATATGGATCATATTTTCAGATGATAGAACTGCCCTACAAAGAGTCTCAGTTCCGTATGATCATAGTACTTCCTAACGAGGTGGATGGTCTTCCGGAGGTGGTGAAGAAGGTCGCGGAGAAGGGACTTTTGGAAGATGTCTTCGGGATGTATCCAGCAGGAGCAGATATAGACCTGGATATGCCTAAATTCGAAATAAAATCCAAACACAATCTTAATGATATCTTGCCTAAGGTAAACAATTATATTTATAGACTAGCATTGCCCGCGGCTCCGCCCGCGTTAAGATGACCAAAAACCAAATTCTTAGGTTTTTACATATTAGTATACTCTTATAATGCAGTTTTTGTATTTTTCTCAGAAATGAGATATTTTCCCGCGGCAAAAAGTATCCTATATGTTGACCCGGATAACCAGCTTCACCATCACCATACCCATCAAAATCTGTCCAGTGGTTTTCTCGTGATGCGGTAACAGACAGACAAAAATCCTAAAAACTATAGATTCTATCATCATACCAAATTTCATCAAAATCTGTCCAGTGGTTTTCTCGTGATGTGGTAACAGACAGACAGACAGACAGGCAGACAGGCAGACAGATAGACAAAAAATTCCAAAACTATAGATTCGGACTCTGTATCGATAATGATGTCTATTTCAATTAAATTTCCCAAAAAAATATTTAATGTACAGATTCGACTTAGTTACAATTTTATTATATGTATAGAAGTGCCAGTGTCAAAAAAACTCACTTTGAGCACCGAAAGAATGTTGCAGAAAGAAAATAATTAAATATTAATAACATTACAAACGAAGCTTAACATTATTCTATAAGGAATAAATAGCAATGGTGTTTCAATTACATACAACCACTACTGGAGTTAGCATGTTAGACACCGCATGTTTAGAGATAAGCTTGAGCGATCCTGTAACATCCCAATTATTTATCTATACTAATATTATTAAAAGGCAGTTTGTTTGTTTCTTTAAACGCGCTAATCTCAGGAACTATTAATTCGATTTAAAAATTCTTTTTGCATTAGATAACCTGTTTATTGAGAAAGGTTATATATAATCATGCTACTACCCAAGGGTGCGGAGCATAAATCATAAATGTGAACAAATCGAGCAGACTTCCATATATTATTGTAAACCTGATGTTTAAAATATGATATTTAAGTGATTTAAGCTCGGAAACTACTAAGCCCGTATAAAAATGCCTTTTGCATAAAGCCAAAGTTTTTTTTGTAATTTTAGCGCGAGCGAAGCCGCGGGTCTGTTAGTAAGAAATAAACAAGAAAATCCCGTTTTTTCTCTATCACTCAAATAGATAAACATTCACCACTAAACTATATATACAAATGCTTATATAAATAGGTGGGAGTGTCCAGCATCTTCCAGAAAGCTGCAAATGGTATAGTGAAGGGAGGCAGTGTGAAGGTGGGCAGCGCATTGCAAGAAGCTTTCGTTACAGTAGACGAGGAGGGCGCCACCGCCGGAGCTTTTACAGGTACGTGGGGTTGATCTGGGCTAGTAAAATCTAGCGTTTATTTAAAAAATATTTTTTAAGGATTTTATACCCCCTCTTCCCCTGTATATAAGCCTGTCCCCTGTATATAAAAAAATCACAAACCATAACAAAAATAGTAGTATTTATTTAATTATTAATATTGTTTTGGAAACTTTTATTAGTGAAGTTTTTATTACTTTAGATTTTTTTCTAATATAATATTTTTAATAACCCTCTCTCCCTGTGTCACCTAAAGTAAGAAAATGTTGGATCCCCCGCCTCCTCAGCCTATGTTTACGTAATACTTGAACGGCCTCTAATGTATATATTTTAGTGGATAGTACTGGCTTTTCTAGCTTGTGAATCTCCACATAACCACCTGTATATTTACAGGTGATATGCATAAGTGCATTTCACAATGTAAAAAAAGGCAAAGGCGAAATATACAATAAGCAATACACTAAAAGAATCAACCAAAATTAGGTACAGAAGGTAGATTCTCTTATGCTCGATTTTACCAACGTCACCTAAGTTTAAGGGATCCCCTAAGCATGGTTATGGGGCTATTAGGGGGACAGTTTCTGTTTCACTGACAGTTAGGGGTCACCTAAATATTAAAAGGCCCCCTAAATTTAGGTGCTCGAAATATGGGCTTAAAGATGATCGTAAAATTAAATTTAATTTAGGGGCTAGTTTAGGGGACTTTTAAGCTAGGGATCCCCTACGTAGGTGGTAGCTTATGGGATGTTGGTGAAATCGGGCATTAGTGATTTTATGAAGCCGGTCATGACGTATTAAATTGAATTAATAACAAAAATTCATTTACAGGTTTGGTTGCTGTACCGATGTCTTCTTGGTCCAAGCCGCCACCTCCAATACCCTTCAAAGTGGACCATCCGTTCCTCTTCGCAATCCTACATGACGATATCATACTATTCACCGGAACTTACTCTCACTAAGAAATCAAGTTCAGATTGGACAAAAAGAACATTATTATTATAAATATTGACATATACTTGTTTGAAATTCAATCTAAAATAATATGTATCTATATTTTTTTAATATAATAAATATCGATATCTCTATAATGTGTGTGTTATTTTTTACGCGACTGCGGCGAAGCCCAAATTAAGGTTGCGTGACCTGTATTTATGAAGGTCGTTTGATAAATCAGTGACTTTAAAATTATATAAAAACTTTTTCGAAATTTGATTTCTGATTTATAATAAGGAACTCCTTAACTAATCTACACGCGTTTTTTTTTTAAATTAAATTTTTGAAATTAAAATTTTTAGAAAGGAATAGCTAAGTGCGTTTGAAACATTCTGTAAAAATGGGCAAAAAGCGATTTTTTTAATTATTTTCAATAGAGACTTTTTTATAATGGAACATGTATATAGTATATTATGTGCGCGCACACACACAATGGAGGCGAGAGCAGTAGTGGAGAAGGGGCTTAGGGGCATGACGGCAGCGTCACGCCACCGTTTGCCGTCACATTTGTTGTTCCTGGTATATGCGTCACATCACGAGTTGGTTTTACTGCCCAGGCCTCGTCAGAGCAGTAGTGTTCTGTGGCCAAGGCGCGCCAATAGATGTTTTAAATCAAAAAATCTCTCAATATTCAGTGTGATATGTAGATACTTATATACTACATGTGTATAATGCTAATCTTGAACTTGAACATAATTAAAAAAAAACATAGATTAGAAAAAAACGATATTTGAAGTCCGTTAAGAGTACAGTCGAGCAGAAGTGATCGGTGCGGCAACATGGGGAAAACTGAGATTTTTTTAATTGGTAAGTCCTCACTTTACTGAGCCACAATAATGAGTCGTGGGAATTTTCCATGCTAAATTTAGTTTTATTAAAATTATTTGTTAAAATTACCTTGAAAAATACCTATAAGTATTTGTTACAATGATTAAATAAACTAAACTTGAAAAATACCTAAATAAAATCGCAGAACGACTAGCAATATTATTAGCTAAAATTAAATTTATTAAGTATATATTTATATTGCATATATTGTTCATTTTCCTTAAAAATTTTCATATGTATGATGAACGAATCAAAAATAATTTTGTAGTTGAAAGAGAATTAAGGATTTTAATGTTCAATTCAATTCTTTATAATTGACTTTAAGGCGTGCCAATGTTATTTGCTTAGATGTTAAAATAGTATGGCAATTCAAAATAGAAACATTATTGTACTAGCGACTCACCCTCGCTCTTTTCGGGTTCGTCCCTAGTTACGTTTTAACATTTAGTATAGGTTTTGTCAGAAATAAGATATTTCCCCGCAGTAAAAAGTATCCTATATGTTGACTCGGATAACCAGCTATCATCATACAAAATTTCATCAAAATCTGTCCATTGGTTTTCTAGTGATGCGTTGCAAGACAGACAGACAGAAAAAATTCTAAAAATTATAGATTCGGAAACTTTATCTATATAAATAATATTTTCCAAAAAATATTTAAGAAACAGATTGGACTCAAAATTTTACTATACGTACAATGATGATGCCATCCAGCCGATCTCGGCCACAGCCACTGCATTCGATGGTTTTCTAGGGTGGTTGTTCCGGTATAGATAGTATATAAACGCATATAAAAGTAGCGTGTAGCTCTCGTTTTGAAAAGATTAATAACTGACGGGATCGACTTTATGTTAGTAATCTTTAGTTTATAATCTATCTTTACATTTTTTATGGGTCTATGGGTGGGTAGCATGATGTCAGATTGGAAGTTCTCACGACATTTATATAACCAAATATAAAACTACACTTAGCAATAAATTATTTTACAATTTGTTAATTAAAACAGGTTTAGTAGAATGATGTAAACAAAATATAAAATACTTTTCTGAAAAAATATATAATAAAATAAACTTGTTTAACAACCTGTTTTTCAAATAACTCATCTCTAGCCCCAGTTTAAAATTAAATTTTAAAGCTACTTTGTCGGTTTAGACTTTAGAGCTACGTTTTCACGTAGGTACTCAAATGCCTTGCTTTTTAGAAAAGGAAGCGGTTAAAAATTAAAAAAAAAACGGTATGTGTCCATCAATTTTGTAAAAGAAAATAAATATTAAATTTTAATTAAAATTGATGACTAAAATTATATTTCTTTTAACGGGTTACACAATCTGTTATTATAGCAGTAAGTTGTAAAAATGTTAGCCGCTTAGGTCCAGTAGTTTGCAGTTTAATCATTTCTACAAGTTGCAACAAGCTTAAAATACTATGTATATTGTATTTAGAATTTCGTCTCGGCGATCAGTGTTTTGATAATGATCATGTTGTGGCGATTATGTAGTCCTTAGAAGCATGTCGTCTCTCGGCAACTATTTTTTTAAATTCGTTTAGAAACGTAAGTAACTGATTGCACATTTTTTTTTCATGTTTTTGTCTATTTTTTAATTTTTCGCATGATAACCATAGTGTCGTCTAACGGTATTAACGTTATAAACGGTAGCCAAAATAGTTATTTTATTATAGTAGTAAATTATATATATATATATGTAGTAAATTACCGAAGTGTGTATTCGTCCTTCATAAAATATATAAATTATAAGATAATAATCGAGAAAATCAGGAAAAACCATGAAATTTCAAGTATGTAATCAGATTTAATTACCTAGACTTTTTTACCTACTTCCAATTGTCATATCGACTTGAAAGCACAAAAGTGAATTTAATTTCAAATAAACTAAGGAACACTCGATAGAACCAATTATTGTGTTTTCTCGTGGAAATGAAAGATTTTTTTAGATTAGGTTAGATTGAAACGCGCCCACAAAAACAGACAAACAAACAAAAAATTTAATAACTATTGTTTTGGGGGTCTATTTTGTACGCAATACCTTAAAGTCACTGGTTTTAAAAAATATTCGTGTACAGATTTCAGACAGATATTAATAAAACAGACTAAGGTACTATTTTATTAATATTGCACATTTATCATTTTGATTTACGTCTTATTTAGCGGCTTACTCTCACTATGCAATAGTAATGTTACTCAAATCTATCTGTATATTAAATTTCGTCCAAATTTGTCCAGCCTTATTAAATTGAAAGATTACTTAATAAAGATACACATTTTTTTCCATTTATGATAATATGTAGTCCGATGATACAATTTTATCAGTCTTGTTTTGATTGTACTTGATCTCCAAATCAAAGCAAAAACTTTATAATAACAATTATTTTTGTAGGTAGTTAGTAAAAAAGATAATAAAGCTATTATTACATATACCTACGTAATCGTCTAATATATAAATATCCCGTGTCACGGTGTTTGTGGTCACACTCCTATTATTTATTCTCCTCTCCTATGATTTAATCATTTTTTTTGTATATTTAGTATGTATGAGAATATATCGTTAAATATTTTTCAACCTCCTACCCCCACCCCCCATTTTTAATCGCGATTTTAGTGTTTTTGTGTGAACAATATTATATAAATACATAGACGACGAAACCGAGCGAAGTGAGGATGAGTCGCTGTATAACATAAAGCCAAAGAGTTTTTTTTTTCTAGATTGAACGCGGGCGTAGGGGTTCTGCTAGTAATATGTAATATATTATTACATATACCTACATATGTATAATTTAAAGAAATATGTATATGTTCTTAAGAAATATAAATTTTAACAGTGCTAATATTAATTAAAGAAATCAAACAACACCACTCATCTAAAAAAATAACTCTGAGTCTATCATGTAACCCACATTTGTATTTTATTTTTAAGCTACAATGGCCAGCTTGGCAATGGGATGGGACTTCAATTTTCCCAATTACAGAAGAACTCCGCTGGGGGATACCGTTGACATCGCTTCCATGAAATTACTTAAGGTAATATTGTAGTTTCAATAGACTTTTAATATAATAGTAACTGCTTTTAAAAACGTCAAGTATTTCGAAGGTTTTCCTTGACAGAAAATTTTATTCTACCTAAGCTTCTTTACCAAAGTAACAAGTACTTTTATTATATAACGTATATAACTGTCTGGCGCGGATCCAAAGCTAAATTGGGGGGGGGGGGGGTGTTCATAGGCTGAAATATACATCCATACTAATATTATAAAGAGGTAAAGTTTGTAAGTTTTTAATTTGTTTGTACCTAATGGATGAACTAAAAAACCGCTGATTCGATTTAGATGAAAATAGTTTGAGGCCCTAGGAAGGACATAGGATTTTTTGTATAGTTTTTATCCCGGAAATCATCCCTTAAAGGGATCAAAACAGAGGGATGAAAGTTTGTATGGGAAATCAATAATTTCTCAAGCAAGGGATATAAAACTCATCATGAACCTATGTATATGCATATGTATAGTCTATCTATTCCATATTAACCGCTAAAATGTACTTAGGGACGAACCTGAGCGAAGCGAGGATGCGTCGCTAGTCCTCTTATACTTTGCTATTGCTATATACCTGCAGTTTGCTATGAAAAATATCCTACACCTTAAAGGTGGCTTCTATTACGTCTCCTTATATTATATGTCTTCTTTTCGAGTATTAAGTAAGGTGCGTTCACGTTATCAAGCTGGGCGTGAAGCCAAGAAACGCACTGTAAGGCGGCCCACCTCAGTAGACGGTGTGCCATGCGGGTTGCTCCTGGTACTTCTCTGATAGCAGAGTGGACTGTTGGAGCAACCTCATGAGTTGAGTGCGACGCCCCATTAAGATGGGTAAAACGTTCTGTTGGGTTTTAGTGGGTAGTACTGGTTTTGCTCATGACTTGCCCATGCAACCATGCATGTCCAACTGCAATGCATACAGCATACAGCATTGAAGGCGGTATGCGTAAATGCATTTCCCAATGTTAAATAAAAAGGAATATTGTAGTGTGTGCGCAAGCGATCTTGCAACACCCCGTTGCACTGCGGCGATGAGTTCCACTGTGGGTTTTAATAAGTAGGAATCTCACAGTCCCCTGCCGTTGACGGT